ACGATAGATACGATAACATTGGCCGATTTCTGTCTTAAGACTAATCCAACCATGATACATTTAGTGTTTTGAGATAGCTTGTGAATTTCTTCCAGGTAGTGGAGATATAGAGCTTGATTGACTATGCCTTATTTCTAAAGTAATCTTGTTTAATCCCATTTGTTGCTTATTTTGTCTGTGAAATAGATATATATTGGGTCTTATTTTTGCTTATAGCATTAACTTCAATTTAGTTAAAAAGCTGGCATTTTGAATCACTATCATGAAGTGGTTTGAGGTTTACAAAGACTGGCTATTATGATCCATACCTGACCTTTTTAGACGACCACATTGACGCTGGCCTACTCTCATCCGTAGAAAGGGATCTCGCGATAACAAGGCCATTACCTTCGAGCCTGTCTGGACATAAGGATACTCGTCCTCTGAGTCGATTCTATCTCAATGTACCCACAAACGCAGCTGATAGAAGCCGACTCGATTTGTCTTCTGTTTATCAACGTGATCTGGAAGATTTGCTTGAATCAGCCTGCTGAAATTTTTAATGACACGAATTGATCGATAGAAATGCATTTCTTTAGTATCACCAAATTTCATTTATAATTATTTTGCATGGATGCGAATTAATTGAATCATTATACTCCCACTATTGGTGCCAAAATTTTCAATTTATTATAATAAAAATAAAAATAAAATCTTCTAATTGTAGCTAGGAATTGTTTTCGAATCTTCTAGTAAAATTGCTTATTAGGATAGATGTAGTTTTTAGATTTAACTCCGATTTACTTCAGTTTATTAGCAGATTAATTAGTTCCATAGTTTCTCGCTTCGCTCGTAAATGCTATCAGTTTCACCTAATATTTTCCTCTACATGATCTTCGCTGTTTATTTTTCCATTCCTCCAATTTTGTAGCCACCGTCCTATAATGGAGTTAGCAGTCCGAAACTGGGAATAATTTCGAATACTTTTGCAGAAGACACAGGATTAAGTAATCTTTACGAGGTTTCCTTTTCACCAAGACCAGATCGCGAAACGAGATAAAATAAACGCACCTAGTCCGAAGTCGTCTGCCATAATAGTTGTCATGATTCCCAGCATCTGACAGTGGACTTGAT